TTATTATTATTATTATTATTGATGATGATGATGATTGTGGCAGATTCGTTTTCTACATGGAAGTCTAATCTCCTCCGAAGACCTTTTCTGGGGATCGTCGATAGATGGTTTTTCAATAGGAATCGTTTCCCTCGGATCCTCAAGAGATAGAGGGGGGGTCCTGTCTTGAGACATGAAGCGGTCTCTCCTCCTCCTCCTCCTCGAGAAGTCTTGAGAAAGGGAGAGGATTTTCGGTTCCCTTATTCTCGAGGGGTCTTGACAAATTGAGAGGTCCCTCCTCTTCGAAAGAGAGAGAAGTTTTGGTTCCCTTATCCTCGAGGGGTTTTGACAAATCGAGAGGTCCCTCATTTTCGAGGGGTCTTGATAAATGGAGAGGTTTTTCATCTTCGAGGAGGTTTGACAATGGGAGAGATCTCTCCTTCTCGAGGAGGTTTGACAATGGGAGAGATCTCTCCTTCTCGAGGGGTCTCTCTTCCTCAAGGGGTTTTGAGGAAGGGAGAGGTTTTTCATCCTCGACGGGTTTTGACAAACGGAGAGGAATCTGAACAGGCTTCTCCTCATCCCCATCATTATCGAGGAGGATGAGGATAGGCTTTTGGAAAGGTTTTTTTCTTTTCTTCTGAACAGGCTCCTCTTGATGCTCGGGGAGAGGGATGGGGTAGTTGTTCCACCATTCTATTTTTTCTTGCTCGAGGATTTTTTCAAAAGTCGTAGCTTCTCTAAGATGAGACGAACGAGGAGAGTCCTCGAGAAGAATATAATAGGTATTCTTCCCAGTCTTCTCGATCGAGAGAGGTTCGTGCAAACATTTATGCAACCATTCACTAAAATGAACGAGAATCCCTTTTGTCTTCTCAAGACGATCCATAATCCTATTCATTTGCGAGACGGTTAGAAAGTGGGACGTGTAAAAATATTTGGCTCGTTTCATTAACAAAATTTGTGCATCCAAAGGTGGAATGTCACGAGCCATCAACACGTTTTCGTCGGACAAAAATTCGTCCCGCATCTTTTGATAACTCCCCACGGTAATATAACCCGCACATTTTGAAAAATCGGAGGCTTTCAGGTAAACGACTCCTTGGATGATATAAAAGGAAAGATCAACATATTTATATTTGAAAGGAATACACGTAGTGAGCTGGGGATGCCTCCTCATGATCCACTTGGACAAAAATACGACTTTGGGGCTCTCCCCTTTTATTTATAGAGAGAAAGAGAGTGTGACCTTCCCTTCCCTCCTCCTCCTCTCTCCCTGCTTCCTCTATCTCTGGACGTCCTTGGATTGGAAAGGGTGACTTTGAAAAAAAAAGAAGGTCATGGTTGGATAATTTTTTTTGTTTCTTAAATTATTACTTTCACTTCCTCATTCCCACACACATTCATCTTTTTAAGAAAAGAAAAAGAGGTCATGGAGATAAGATTTCTTGGAAAGAAGAGAGAGAGAAACAAAAAAAAAACAAATAAAACGGACGTCATAGAGCCTCTATGTGTCTGTGTGTGTCTATATAGATATATAAAAAGACGAGAGTACTGGGCGAGATCATTTCTTTTCCATTGGGAGCCATGTCGCTATTAGACGTTTTTCCAACTCAACGGATTTCGAACGGGGAGGATTTGAAGACGCTAAAGCAAATCTCCAACTTGAAAATTTTTTTGGCGTGTCATTGTGCGACATTTATTCCGCATTTACCACCTCATCAAGCGATCGTTTCTTTCAACCAAGATGTCGAATCCTCCAACCTGCTCGTTCAGAATCAGAATATATACAGAAATTTATTCGAATCGCAACAAACGAAAGAGGAATCTCCCTTCTCTTGGAATCGGATGGATCGAGCTTTGAGACGGCCCATTCAAACAGACCGGCGATATACGGATCCGCGCACGAGTTTTCGGTGGAAGAATATTTTTCTCACGAAACGATATTTTACGTTTGGAGTGAGAACGACGGCTGAGGACGAAGTTCATATTGTTCAAACCACAGCCGCTCCTCTCGCCTATTACGAATCATCGTCCCCCAATCTGAAGGAAAGAAGTTTTAAAGTCAGCGACAGGATGAAATATAAGAAATATATTCTAAGACCTTTTCAAAACTATGTCGTTCCCCCGAAAACGCAATATCTCATCGTCACAACCCAGAAGAGTCTCTTTCTCGTCGATCGGTGCTCGTACTCGCTTTGGAAACAATTGAAAGAGGAGATTTCTTTCCAATCGCCGATGATGTTTCAAGAAAAAAGAAGAAGAAAACCCTCCGCCACCTTTACCCATCCCTTCCTTAGATGATAAGAGGAGCTGGACCAAACCGTCGTCATGGCCCGAAACAAAATCGACCCGGCAACGGAATGAAATTGAAGTCATCACAATTGAAGATGAGGAGGAAGAAAAAAAAATTACCTCTTAAAAAACGGTCGACTTACCGGAACCTACCTGGCGTGCAAGATCCGCTTCAGAATCCAGAAGCTTCTTCTTCTTCTTCTTCTTCCCCGACTTGTTCAAACAGGCAACCTCTTTCGGACTCCTCACAGACAGAACCTCTTCTAGTATCCTCTTCTTCTTCTTCTTCTCCTCCAACCTGTCCCGACATCGTAGAGGTAGAATGTCAGACGGGTCCACAAGTTCCAACGGGTCCCAGAAATCATGGAGGCAGAATCACAGCCGGGTTCACAAGTTCCAACGGGTCCAGAAATCGTAGAGGCAGAATTTCAGCCGGGTAAACAAGTTCCAACGGGTCCAGAAATCATGGAGGTAGAATCGCAGCCGGGTCCAGACATCCTAGATCCCTCCACTCATCCCAAAGAGACTCCAAGTGTTTCAAGACAGCCTTGTGAGGATCCAGCCCTTCCCGTATGGAATGATTATATGGACTTACAAAATTTGGTGCAACAGGAAGGAGAAGAAAATAATCATACGGATGGGTGGGTCAAAGACTGTTTAGATCATTTAACCTCGAATGAAATTGAACTGTTATGGAATTGCATTTCTGAAATCACATCGGAAATGGGATAAAAACCAAAACAAAAAAAAAACAATTTTTTTTAATAACAAATTGGAGGAGGGTCATGATGTCAATTAAAAAAAATATTATATAGAGTCCAATCTTGGTGGTTCACTTCAGTTTTCCAGCATGAGGTGATCCACGTTTCCCGAAATATGGATCCCATTCCAAGAGAGATTGTGTAGAGCCTTCACTTCAGTTCTTTTTTTTTTCCTACCAAGAGGAGAGGGTCCCCAAAGGGCTACCCATGTCCAAAGAGAGAAAGTGTAGAGCGTTCATTTCAGTTTTTTTTCCAAGTTTAGGGGAGGGAGGTCTCAAAATGACACCCCCCATTTTCAAAGAGAGATGGTGTAGAGCGTTCATTTCTGTTTTTTTCCAAAGTTAGGGAGTTTTCAAATGACTACCCATTTCAGAGAAAGAGAGAGAGAAGGTGTAGAGCGTTCATTTCAGTTTTCCAAGGTTAGGATGGTGGTGGAGAATCCTCCAAAATGGCTACCCATCTCAAAGAGAGAGAGAGAGAGAGAGAAATGCGTAGAGCGTTCATTTCAGTTTTCCAACATTAGAAGGTCCCAAAATACCTTCTGAATTCAAAGAGAGATCGTGTAGAGCGTTCATTTTCAGTTCTTCAAGATCAGAAGAAGAGGGTCCGCTTTTCAGAGACAGCGAAGTGCAGACTTCAGTTTTCTCCCTCCCCAAGAATAGAAGGTCCCAAAATGGCTTTCCATTTCAAAGAAAGAGGGAGAGGCGTTCATTTCCATTCTCCAAGATAGGGTCGTCTGCATTTTTCCCAAAATGGCTTCCCAATTCAAAGAGAGAGAGTGAAAGGGTGTGTAGAGCGGTCATGTTCATTCTCCAAGATAGGGTCGTCAGCTTTTTCTCAAAATGGCATCTCCCCATTCAAAAAGAGATCGTAACCAATTTTTTCCAGTTTTTTCCAAGATGGGGGGGGGAGAAGAAAACCTAGGATGGAATAACACGACACACAGAGAGAAAGAGAAAAAAAACGCCATCTTGTCATTTTCTGATAGGGTACCGGTGTTCGAATACTTTTGTGACCGACTGTACATGAAGTGCGTTAATGAATTCACAACTTAACACAGTTAACATATTCATTTTTCCCAAACTATATTTTAAAGACATTTTTCTTTATGCAGTTTGAAGTCATTTGAATTTAGATTACACCACACCAGTTTGTTAATTTTGGTGACTCTGGGAGTGCATAAAACTTCTCAGTCATCTCACAGAGCCAATAAAATGATAATAATCTTTATTTTACAGAAATCATTTATTGGATGTAACACCTAACATCTTCCGAAAGGTAAATATTAAAAATATATATATATATATCATTTGAAATATATTATTTCATTATAATGTTACTCATAAAAACTTATCTGCTTAATATTATAGGTAACATTATAACAACAGAAGTAAAAAACACTACTTCATTAACCATTTAAAAATGTATATTTTGAGAGGACACGATATTTAAGAGCTGCATGGAATAATACGGCTCTTAGAAAGACGACAACCACGTTATCTTTGGTTCAACCCCCCTCCCAACTTATTTACATCTTCTCAAACGGAAATGACGTCTGGCGAGCAGCCGAGAGTGGGGAGCTCTGGGATAGATGAGAACCCAATGTCTAGGCGTTTGTCTACATTCGTATCTATATTTTAAATTGCGTTATTTAAGATTATTATTTATCAATCTATGAGTATTAAATAAACAATTTACTATTTATAATAAAAGAATAAATTTTGTGGTTATAAAATGAGGCAAACATTTATCGATATAGCAAATTATGTACTTATTTTCATTTTTTGAAGAGTTACTAATAAAAGTTATATTTCTTAATTTTTATGAAGATCTTTTTTGCTTAAAAATTAAATAATATAGTACTTATATTTGTTCATGTCAATGTTGTTTACCTTCTGTAATATGAAATAATTTTTTTTAATCAGAAGCAAAAGTTGCACTCCACACTGAGGAAAGGTGAATTAAAAATTTGTCAGGAATGTTTAGATAGGTGACTGGAGTTTGTGTTTGCAGACTACGAAAGTATTACGGGTAGCTGTCATCGTAGTGTTTTAATAAGTGCCCGTTTTCCGTTACTTATATGAAGTTTTCTAAATGAGGGTTCAAAATTATGGTAAGGCAAAATAGAAACTGATTTTCTTTGAATGCCTGTAGCTGATTTTTATTATGGCAGATCATTTATAGAATAAATGGGCTGAGGCACTTTAATATTCGCTTGTTGATATCGGGTTCTCTGTTTCAGCTTGCATGTAAATGTTCCATCTCAAAATTATTTTATTCATTTCAAATGCTGTGTGTGTTCTCTTTTTTTTTTTTTTTTTTTTTCTTAATTTGGCCTGGATATCTTAATGTCTTTGATGTTAAATGACATAGACGATTCTTTATTTAAGAGAGAATTATTTCAATTGTAAATGTACACTGCTTGTGTTTATTTCTATTATATTTTAAAAGCAGTCAGGATTTATCATCCTACAGATGAATGAACCGATCTGTAGAGCATCATTGTTACTCCAATAGATTACATTGAAAATAATAATAAAATTTTTCACTTGTGACAATTTTTTAATCGGGCGTTTTTTTAATGGTATAGGCACAGAAGTAGCATTCAACAACTATTTTTATGAATTTTTAGAGAGAATTTTTAACTCCAAAATTGAAGTTTTTGTAAGTTATTCTAATTTGTGATGTCAGAGCAGAAAAATATTTTAAAATAATTAATAAGGCCATAGTTTGTTTATGAATCGCATTAGCTAGAATCATTTTTAAATCTTTCTCTAGCAATCCATTTCTAAACATGTTATTGCACATATTTTTTTATTCATAGAAGAGGAAGTTACTGAAAACTAGCATTTTTGGCTATCTGTAACAAGCAATGGATTTTGATTTTTAGAAATAATATATTAGATCATTGCATTGTTCTAAACTCGATGTCAAACTGTCCCAAGTTTTAATTTTTGTAAACGTTGAGAAACATAAATTTTCTTTCTGCTATGCTTGGTATGTGATGCAGACTTCCAAGATTTCTTTTGCCATATTTTCCTTTTGGTTTGAGGATAACAAAACTTTATAATAAAACAATTTGTATAGTTTATTTTTAAGGCATAATCTAAAAATTAAAATTTTAAAATTCTATACATTTTATGGGTGTTTTCTGCATCTACTTTTAACATCTGTACAGATGGCGCCACTTGCTTCTTCTTGTCCAGGCTTTCTTATCTTATCTAATCATTATTTCTTATCTTGTTCATTTGCGGTTTTGCAGCTGAGGATGGTAGTTCGGTAAAACCATCGAAACTAGTCCTGTGAAAATTTTGTAAATATAACGCTGATTTTTGTTGTTTGACTTCTGAATTAGTATTTATTCGGTGTGTTATTGTGTCTTAATTCTAGAAATAGTTTTTAAAAAAATTAAAGGATATAGTGAAGCTTTTCTGAGGTAATTATCCATCGCTGTAGATTATTTTTGTTTTCTGGAAAGGCGATTGTTTTGAAGTTTCAATACTCATATTTATTTACATTCTCAGTAAGACCCACTCTCAGCAGTGGTCATTTTAGATGGTTGTTTGATTATGTAAATAAATATTTCAGCCTAATTTCTGTAATTAAAAAATTTTGTTACTTCATAAAATGACAGTGTAAAGGAGTGTCTGTAGGCAGTTGTAATATATGTTAATTTATATACAATAGAAAATCTGAAATCGGGACATTCAATATCAAGAATGATCTAATATTTCAACCTCTGTCATCAGGAGGTGGGAAGGATTTTCTCTACGAAGTTTAGAAATGGAAAATATAATATTTAACCAAAAAAAAAAATTTCAGGTCTGCCGTAAATGTGACTTTTCTCCCAACTGAGATTTGTGCATGCCACTTTTGAATATCTGCTGGCTAGGAAATTGCACCATGGCCAATATCATCTTGATTTATTTTGTATTGATGTTGTCCATGATTGCACCTGTGGCTGTTGAATGTTATATCATTTTTCGGGTAGAGTAGACTTTAAGGTACCCCTTGTATTATGGCGAAGTTGTTGTTTGATTTATCGCCATGTTGTTGTTTTATTTATGGTAGCCTGAGTAGTTGAATGTTATGGAAACCCTATTGTGGCGTAATCGGGTGCATGATTCTGGGAAATTTTGAAGCGTTGTTTTGTAAGCGTTTTTGTGGTGTGTGTTGGTTTGATTCTTTAGATGGTAGAATGGCCGAATGTAGTAAGATTAATTTGAAGTTTCTGTACAATTTGGAGCGAAAGTGGAAAAGAGCTTTAATTGACTGGTGTGTAAATGAAAGTTTACTTAGTAGTCATTATAAGTGTCCTGTATGTAGAAAGGATATGCATCTAGTCGAACGTAAAAACCGTTTAGATGGACTTGAATGGGTTTGTAGGAAGAAATGTTCAGATGGTCACTATGTGACGCATTCGATCAGAAAGAATACCTGGTTTGAAAAAAGTCATTTGAGTATGACTGATATTTTGATTTTTACGTGCCTCTGGGTGTACGAAGCAAACTCGAAAATCATGGTAAATGAATATTTGCTTTTGGTAGTGCTTAAATGTATAACATGTTCTTCCTTTTTTATGTTATTTTATTATTTGGTTTAAAATACATTTTATTGAGATTATGTATTTTTTGTTTTTCCTATATTGTAGAATTTGGTGCTCCTTTGACTTTTTAAGTGAAAGTATATCGAAGTGTACATGGATAAAGTCAAAGGAGTGCGCAATGCCATTTTTGTACAATTCGGGGATTTTTTTTTAGTGAAAATAAGTCGATGTGTACATGGATACCGAGTTTGTGCAATTGTTTGTTTTGTGTAGCAGCGATGCTTTGCAAGCCAAAATAATGAGTCAAAGAATTGCACAAAATCCATATCCATGTACCACCCAAAATTGCCAAGTTTCGCCAAGGGGTACCCTAAACTATACTTTTACCCATTTTTCTATCTGACCTGAACAATAAATGGTCCCAGTGCTATCCTGTCCATGTATCATCTTACTAGATTTAAATTGCTGATCTAAAATTCAGAAATTTCCAAAATCTGGAATCGCTGAAATCCCAACAATTCTTGATCTTGGACTTTGTACTGTGTATGGTAAAACCACTTTCTTATTTTCCTGTACTTTGCATTTTTCATTTTCCCACATTACTTGCTATTATTGCAAGAACCCATTTTAAGTAATTGGCATGTATTTAAAATTTTTCATTTACTAGCATCTTTACGTAATAAAACTTCTTGCTTTGTTTTTTTTTTAGCCTTTGTCTTTTATGCAATTACAAGTTATTGTGTATAATTTAGCTAAAGATATTTGGATAATTTCAATCATTTAATGGGCCATTTTCACCAAAAGCTTACATTTCATATTTTTTCCCCAAAGTGTATAATTTCCTTTAAAAATGAAAGCAAGTGTTATTATATATGTTTAAGATAACTGAAAAATAGAGTAGACTGAAAGGTACCCCTTGTATTATTGCAAAGTTGTGTTTCATTTATCGTTAAGTTGTTTCGTTTATTGCCAAGTTGTTGTTTCATTTATTGTAACCTGAGTAGTTGAATGTTCCGTAAAAGTATTTTTTCCTAGAATTGGGTGCTCCTTGACTTTTACCTGAAAGTATATCAATATGTACATGGACAAAGTCAAGGGAGTAGGCAATGCCTAATTTGTGCAATTCTCTGATGTTTTTTTAAGTGAAAAAAGGTCGACATGTACATGGATAAAGTCAAGGGAGTGCACAATACCTAGTTTGTGCAATTCTGTGATTTTTTTTTTAAGTGAAAATAGGTCAATGTGTACAAAAATCGTCGCTACACAAAGACAAAATAACAAGTCAAAGAACTGCACAAGCTCGATATCTATCCATGTACTGCCGAAAATCGCAAAGGGATAGCCATAAATATACTTTCACCCTGAAAACTAATGGGTTATGCACATTGTCTGTAATTGAATGCTGTTACAGTGTTAAGTTGCAAGATAAGTTGCCAAGTTTATTACCATACAAAATTAATCAAATTTCTTACTTGTAAATTTTATTAAAGCTTCCAAAATTAATTTACTATGAAGTGTCCTTTGTTCCCAAAGTTCAAAACAGGTTATCTGTCTGTAATACTTAAATTTATATGAATGACATTTACAGCCACTATTTTTAACTACATCAAAATTTATGCTAAAACATTTTCTAATAAAAATTTGTTTATTTAAGTTATGAAATTTTAAGAAAGTTATATCATTATTTCTTAGCTTAAAAAAAGAATGTAAAAAATCCATATATTTATATGAAAGTTAGGATAGGTTATTTAATGACAGCAAAGCCTAGAGGACTATCTGCCTAAGGGGAGGGATGCCTTCGTGGAGGAATTTCAAAGGGAAACTGGCTCATATATACATTACACATGGGAAAACCCATGAAAACAACCATGCAACCAGCCTGTTCACGGGATTTGAACCTCAAACCGAACTACCAGTGTTCAGCGACTTTACCGCTCGGCCGCTGGTGGGCACATAAACCTGGCAGTGAAAAACATTCACTACACTGATAGACAGAAAAATGCTAGTTATCTAAATTAATTAAGATGAAATCGTGACTAATGAAACAAGAGTAAGTTATTTTCTGCATGGTAATAACTATATATTTCATTGTTAAACAAAAACTTAAGTGAAAAAGTACTATTTTAATTCTAAAAATTTTGACAACAGAAAAAAGGGAAAAAAATACTCACTTGAAGAAAGCTGATTCTTGCCAGTCCTGCAATACTTCTCAACTAAAGAAAAACAAATCTCAAAAAGAAATAGTTGCTTGATTAGCTTAACTATGTCACAGAGTATGTGCTGCCATCTTTAGAGAAGATTTACAAATTATTTGCAGATAAAATAATCTCAAAGTAACGGACTTGACTCGGAGGTGGAAAATAAATGATTTTTATCAATTTGCTATAAAAAAAAACGGTACTTTTCCGTTTTGCCGGCGCAAGCGATAAAGTCGCTAATAATGGTGCAACCGATGCCAAACGGAATATTCTCGCTGGTAACCTTTTACGCCTCATTTTCAAAACAAGTCGCAGCTTTTTCTTATCAGATTGATTGTTTCTTTCAATACTGACATATAATTACATAGA